ATTATTTGCCATGTCGCCTATAAGATTCATTCGGTTATAAAATTCACTTTATGCTGGTTCTAAAGTTATAAGAGGCGCTCACTGCATATATATACAGTGGCGTAATTACGGGGAGGGTGTAAGGGGTTTTCCCCCTCCTACAGATTTTTTTTTTAATGATATTTGATTATTATTTATTAATATTTATATATTAGAGTAAAATATTTTGATTTTATTATGATTAGGTATATATTAAAAATTGAATAACAAAATAATTTTCATTAAATACGAGACATAATAATAATACCATTTTAAATGTAATATTTATTACATATGACCTCGTTTTAAGATATACAAAGAACACTTAAAAACTTACTCTTAAACACCCCCTCCAGAAAAAAATTTTATCTACGCCACTGTATATATATATATATATATATATACATAATACATAATGGTGAAAACAATACATTCCTTCTTTCACTTTAAAGTCTAAAATGGTGTCTGGCATATCTGAGTAATTACTCAAAAATTACTAGACCGATTTTAACGCAGTTTCTTGAAAATAGTCGGTATTGTCCAGAGAAGTTTATAATCCAATTAAACAATTTTATGTCCCATAAAAACCGGGTTTTCGGTATTTTTGGTACCTCAGTATCAATGTACACTCTCTTGAAACCGAGCACTATGTATGGGTGGTGGTCGATGATGAGTGGATAGGAGTTTTGTTGTTTATCTGAACGGCTGAGTATGAAAGTTGTATGTAACGTAAGTAGTAGTGGGGGTGTGTATGTTAGTGAACGGTTACACTAGGTATAAATTATAAAACCAATAAGTTTGATTTTCAATTGCAGTTTTAACCTAACCGTATGAGAGGTGGAATTTCAATAGTCATCGAAGTGCACGAAAATGACTTGCACAAAAATTAACGTGGCTAGTTGTTAAGTTTTCATTTTGATGCTTAAAACTCAATAATAACATAGCGTTAAATAATGTATTTTAATCAATGTAAATTTGGTTCATTTCATCAAGTGACTTATCGGCCATTTTCAGTATACCAGGTATCACCATAGGCGCAACTAAGGGGACGCAATAGGGTTTTTACGACCCCTGAGTTCAAATGTAGAACTCCTGTTTTTTTCAGATCTATATTATATATGGTAATTACAGTTAAATACCATTTAATTTTATTTTCAGCGATTTCAGCACCTCCAATATTTGGGTTCTAGTTACGCCCAAGGGCTATCACTTAAGACAATATTGTGTATAATAATAGTAAATAACAGTCACTTATACCAGATTTGATTATTTTTTTGTGATTAGACAATATTACATTTTCGATTAAATATATATATATATACACACACTCAAAATGTCATTACAATCTAACCAATTATCAAACATTCGGATGTAATACAATTTGTTTGCTGTCGACAATTATTACCATGCGCTAGTACGGCGAGTAACGACTATATTGTCAAACAATTTTCGTTAATTAATATTGAAATTTTCATGACGAAAATTGTATACATTATACATTTATACAGTTGAAATTTAATAATTAATGCATTAGGACATAAATAATATAACAGTATTCAACGTCTACAGTGGTACGCTCAGAACTTTTTGCAAGTTATCTATTAGAAATATTATTGTAATCCCGAAGAGAAGAATGACTTAAAAAAAAAAAAAAACCATGAAGCGGTTTTTAAACGGACCTTATGTAGATTGCGAGTGTTAAATTTTTCATCTTGCTTCTCGCACAGAATACTGATGCATTATGTTATATGAGTCAAATCAAACTGTACGTAGTTTACTATACAGTATTGATGTATAGTCATAGTAATACGATTATATATTTACATAATTTTTGAACCAATAATGTTGTATTATCAGTGCAGTCGTTGCATTAAAAAAACTGACGAGCGCAACGGTTGACACAGTATTTATTTTGAATAGTTCAACCAACTTCTCTTTGAAACTGAATTGTAAAATGTAAAACGTCTATAAAAAAAAAAAAACTGATAATTGATTAAAAATCATTTGATTGAAATAAAAATCAATTTTTAGTTTGTTTTGTATCGTCTTCGGTTGGATAATTTAAATGTATTTAAATTTTTGTTTATAAATATAATATATGTTATTGTATTACGTTTTTTTGTTATTGAAATAATCGTAGCATATATTTTAACATATATATAACAACATTTTTTAGATGCATTTATTTTCTTATATTATTTGATAACCTTATGTATGTTGTATAGTGGATTCTCGTCCGTCCGAAATTCTAATAAGCAATAAACAAACACATTATTAAAAAGTAAATATTACTCTTGTTACGCTCCTGATGTATAATTTTAATGTCACGTTGAAAAATAAATAAAATGCTCTAAAAACCAAGATGATTAAGAACCGTTGTAATAATGTCCTACTAAGCTTTCACAGTTGACACAGCGGCCAAATTAATCTATCACTCTTAAAAATTTTATAATGTTAGAATGTCCCATTAAGTATGTTAAATGTCACATACACTCGTAACTTTGAGTTAGGGCCCATATACACTTGGAACGACATGGCAACATTCCGCAACCGCCTGTACTAATCGGTACAAAAACTTCCTTCGGAAGTACAACCAATGGCGCTGAATATGTAATTAAAGTGGTGCATTTGCATCACATACAATTATAGGGTGGGTACAAGTGACCCAGTCTGGGTCTATATAATTTTGAAAAACTGGCTCTTAATTGCTGATAGGTATTAGTTTGTAGGTATCTACTCACTACGAGTATGAATTTGATAATAATTTGATCATTGATGGCCAAGTAACTGTAGAAACAAATAGCATAGATATTTTGACATTGGATATAAAGAAAAATTATAATTTTTATGGTGTATAGGTATAGGAGGGGGGTGAATTAATGGTTAGGATTTGCATTTACACCACCTACTAAAATGTAGTTTGGCGCCACTGAATATAACGATTAACAGTATCACCAAGTTCCTGAGAACTCGATGGAAGTGTTTGCACTTCTTCGAGTGATTTGAGCTCATTATACGAACACATTATTTTTACGTGTTGATCTTAGTCAAAGGAGCAATAGTTAAAACATACACTTAACGCAGTGTTTACACAGAAGTCGTTGCAAATATGATTCCATCTAACTAAATAATATAAGTACACCACGAATCGATTCTGAGGTTATTGATATCATATTTGGTCTGAGAAAATTCTGTTTGTGAAACCATAGGAAACCTTTAATATCCAATCACAGAGTATCACGTGATTTATTTAAAACGCATACCTGCATAAAAAAATATATTGATATCAGCGAAATTGATGTTATAGTTTGATAGAATAAGCAACTGTTTTGTGACTTGGGAATTGTCAGCAAAGTCAATCTTATTTTATAAAAATTCTATAGAAAACAAAAAACTAATTTTTTCAAATGGTTTATATCGAATAAACGATAACAATTTCACCGGTATTAATTGGGGAGATTATCGTCCCATTCGTCCTCCCCTGAACATTCAATAGGAAAAATGAAATATCGGGGTTCCGGTGTTCGAAAAACAAAATATAGTTTTGATCGGCCGTGATGCACGCCACCGTCAAAGTATACGCCAACTAGTAATTGAAAGCACCGAAACTACTGGTTAGATTAAACCTGATCTAATACTGGTTGGATACCAAACTTACTTAGCAATTAAAATAGTTTAAAATTAAAACTAAAATCTTAATTTTCGCATCTTTAATGCCTACGACGTTATGTTTAAATAATTTAATACGAGTATATATATTTGACCTGTCTTAACGAAATTGTTTAGTTTCACCAATTACCATAATGACCGCATCATCTGCATCTAAACGGTAGCCACGAGTGACTCCTACCCCTGCTTTAAAATATTGCGTTCGATCTGAATGTAACAAAATAATATTCGTAAACACCGTTTGCGTAATACCTCTATGTATTCTTAGTTGAAGAATTTTTCTTTTATTTTTTGATCTTTATTAATTTTATCGTTGTACTTCGGTCTAATCTGTAACACTATGAATCATATACGTCAATCCATTGTGAACAATTCACCAACAGTAGGGAAACAACGTAAAAAGAACTATTTATTCGAAAATCATTGATAACAATATTATCAGTTTGTTAGTATTTAATCGAATTCGCGGTACAAAATGAACAACTAGTAATATTTATGTTGATCACAAAACATAGCAATACGTCACGGATTCAATTTGTTTCAACCGACTACTTCAATAACTTACTTTAGACGCGTTCTGTAAATTTTTTATTTCATTAAAATCGAAAAAACAATCACGTTTCCGGAACACGCGAAAAATACGAGAACAAAAATACTTGTTCACGATGGCTGATCAAATATTATATCCACACAAAAAAACAGTATCTAGTTCATTTTGAAAATGTGACAAGACCTAGTTCACCGGGCAGTAGTCACAGCCGTTGCGATTCGCGATGGTTATACTCTCGGTGAACTGTTATTGCGATGACGAATTTATTTTGCGATCAGTCGTCGTAGAATAGGAGTAAGATGGCGCATTTTTTTATAAAATGTGTTTAAATAATACAATATTACATTTTGGTAACAAAAAAAAGTTATTTTTGTACAGCAAATATTGATTTAATTAAATGTTTTCAATCAAAGCTTTAACATTTCGAATGGTTTAGTTTTAAAACATTGAAAACTTAACATAAGTCATATGCTCATTTACGGCAAAATGACCGGACTCACCCCATATGGTACTTTCGACGCCCTTTTAGTCTAGCTCGTAACACGAGTCTGATAACACGTATCTGATGTACACCGGATCGTATTCGATCGATCTGAAATTACATACAGGCCATAGCAGCGGGTAACAACTGTATAATGTAGCAGTACCGAAACAGTACATTTAAACGGCCTCGGTATCGTGTTATGACTTCGGCGGAGATCCCGTGTCACGTGTGCACGTGTATTCGAGCGTATATACGTGAATGGGTGTGCGTACACGCACGTGTGCGAGTGCGGTGATTACGTCGTATGAAGTATATGATCGAGGCTCCAGTGACATTGTTGCCGTTGCACCCGTCCCGTTGGGTTCGTCCGCTGAACACTTCACAAACGCACCATGTACAAAATGCGTCTGCTGTCGAACGCGCTGGGGCCCAGGGCCTTGGGTCGCCGGCACGGTCACGGTGGCCGTGGGGCCGCGGGTTTCGATCTCGGCGGCGTTTTCGTGCCCATACCCACGCCGTACCAGAAGAACGGAGACGTCGACTATGGCGCGTTGGCCGCCAATTTCCAGAGATGGGAGAAGATACCTTTCAGAGGTCAGACGGCTCCGCTTTCGCTGGGTTTTTATTGTCATTATTATTATTTATTATTATTTATTATTATTTTCGTTATGACCGTTTTCAATTATACGTACAAACCGCTGGCCGCGTACGAGTTGATTCCCGGATCACTGGATATTTACTTCGATATTCATTCAAATACTCGGCCTACAGCTTAACCCGAGAAACACCACGAGGAAGTGGGCGGACAAGTTTCTCAAAAATAGTATAAATAATAAAAAAGACTTCATCTTTAAAAAATAAATATTTTTGAGTTTCTGAGAGCAACGTTTAAAATTCTTGTAGATTTTTTGATATTCCTGATTTTTTTTAAAAATAAATTTCAAATTTTTTGAGAACAATTAATTATTCTATTAAAAAAAAAAATGTATTTTAAAATGTTGCTTAATTTTTCTATTGCGTTGAAATATCAAATTTTTTCTTAAATTATCGAACGCAAAAGCTATTTTATTGTTTCATAAGCCGAAAATGAACGCTCGACATCTACGCATGTGATTGGCGCATATATAAAATAAAGGTATCGTCGTCGACGAATTCGTTGATTTCGATTAACTTACTGCGATCTTCGCCGTCGAGTATTTTTGAAATTTTATCTAATACTCCAAGCCTTATAGTCTAAGGTCATTATTCTTTTCAAAAACATTTTTTCTTTTCTTTAGCTCTGTAAGAACTAGTTTACATTATTAAAAAATATGATACGAAGGTGAAAAATGAAAATCATAACTCATGACGGTACACGGTGCTAAGCTAGGCGGATAAAATATTATTGTCAAGTAAATTTCAACTGTTACAGCTGTGCCGTAATCAGAGGTGTACGTTTAGTGCCGACCTATAGGTATGAACAACGATATTGTTAAATGCGTTTTGCTGATGAATATTTTATCGGAACCGCTACACAAGACGCAGTTATGTTATTACGTAAAGATTCCAATATCAGCAGGCTGCAGGGAAGGAGATACAAGTATTTCGAAGGGCTTGAATGATTTGACGGTGGGAAATCGAAACCACGATTTGTGTTCACTATTAGTTAACAAACACAATGACCTATCCGAAAATATTAGATTACTCACTCAAAGACGTATTCAACTGAATCCGTAGGGTTTTATAAACATATCGGATATCATTTTAGAAATAATTATTAAAACATTATTTGGATTCTTGCGAGTTAAAATATGAAACGATAACCGTAGTCAATAGTATTAGTATTCGAGTCGTATTCCAGGACAAATGTCATTGAACTATGCATATTTTTGTTCTAAAACAACAACATAATTCGCAATAAAACTAACTTCAATACTATAATAATAAATCATTATTCCGAATAACGTTAACTTCAAAAGTAACAAAATATTTGCAGCTTATATCGTAAATATAAATAAAACTTATCAAGTGCCACATTCTTATAAAAAATTTTCATTAAATTAGGTTCTTTCTATAATTTAAATATTCTACTGTAACGGCGTAAGACATTAAAATTACACATTTTTTTATTATTTTTGAATTAAATATAGTTTCAGTATTTTCTATGTTAATGATATATCAGTAGTGAATTACGATGACTGTATGAATAGATATAATAGATGAAATAAAATCACTAAAATCTAAAGTTAATTATATGAAAAATGTATTTTTCGATTAAAATTCCAAGTGACTAAAATTCGTTAATTAACTATTGATCTTAAAAATGTAGAAATATTATGTTGGTATTCAGTTGACGATAGCAGAATTTGTTAAAAAAAGAAACAAATTATAAAAATTACGTTTTTGTTATTCAAAAGAAATATAGCATGAATAATTTTCAAGTAAATAATGGTTTACCTACTATGGATTCGTTTAAAATGTAAAAATACTATTTTTCAAACATCAGAGTATAAAATATAATTGATAACTGTTATGTTTATTAAAATACTTGCGTCATTCCAATAGTATATCAACTTTTGTGCACATAAAGGCGCGCGTACAGCTGTATTATTTACTTCGATAAAAGATTAAAATTCAACCCCCTGAAGTTTTAAGAGCAATAACAAAAAATAACAAAACTTATATCATAATAAATTAATAGCGCATTTTATAATATATCATATTACGGTTTTGAAAAGAAATGTATGTAATTTGTGTTTTCAAACGTATGAAAATGTATCGAATTATCGTATATACAGCTATCGCATATTTTGTCAATAAATGTTATTGAACTTTATATGTACTGAATTCAAAAGATGTACAGAGCCTTCAACATTAAGAGTAAGTAAGGTAAAATTACTCTAAAGTTATTATAATTATTTTTATTTTTATATAGCTACCAGTATAAACTATGATATTAATATAATATATAACAAACGAACCAATGATACAGTTCGTGAAATAAAATATATAGACAGATATAAGTAATAACCAGTGAAGGTCATAATCGTAAAAACAAAATAATATGAGTATATTATAATGCTGTGGCAGTAATTAAAACTCGATTATCATACGTAATAATATATAGGATATACGTCATTTGTAAATGTAACATAAACAGATAAGATAACTGAGAGAGAGATTTGAACAAAAAGAACAACATTAGTATGTCTTTTGGACGATGAGTGCATTTAGAATGGAGGAAAGGAGTATAATTAGTGGACTGATTAAAGCATTCGGATTAGAGATGAATTGGGAAAAAGTACCGGAAATGTGTTCTGTGGATGTGATTGGATTCATTATAGCTTCCGTATAAGTTATTATAAATGATATAATATTTAAATAGTTTTGTGAATCACGATTAAAAACGTATAGTTCATAATTTTAAGTTTAGGGCCAGGAGTTGGATTGTTCATTTTGTGGTAGGAGTTTTATCATTTTTCGAGTTTAACCTTTTTAGATTAAATAATCGATTTTTTTCTTAATCATAACAATAGCACTAAATTTGTTGATGTAAAAAAAAAAACACAAAGTATGCGCACAGCTTTTGCGATGATCAGATTGCTAGTTCACTGGAACTCGACAAACAATATGTATTTAAATTTTTACTGTAGATAAAATTAGTGTACCAAAACAAAATGTTAATTTTCCTCAGCGATACATTACGCGCTCGATTTCCATACTACTTGACTTCATTTTCAACGCTTGTTTTGAAAATATTTAAAAACTCAATACAATTAAATTAATTAATATTTAATATTAATAATTATTTAATAAATTAAATTAAATCATTTTTTTAGGATACTGCGTGGGAGGATCCAATGGTGAAGGACCATACCTAAGTGCGGATGAAAAAATAGAAATGGTATCCAAAATCAGATCTATGATTGGAAATGACCGATTGTTGATTGCTGGGACCACGTGTGAATGTAAGAAAACAATTCAAATATTCTTTAATCGACTCTTTATATCGAGTTGAAAACTATATTACACAATGCCCACATTATACTTAATATAATATTACAAAAAAAAACTGATGTATTTTATGATAAAAGTTAATTATGTTTATTATTTGTTTGAACTGTAAATCTATACATTTAAATTCTTAAAATCTTATAATTTTAAATTTTTAAAATAAATAGGTAAATCATAAATATTTACATTTTTTTTTTCATACATCAAAAGTGAAGAATCAAAATAGTTCAATTTCTCAACGTATTTCATTGTTTAAGAAACCAAACATTTATAAAAAAAAAAAAAATAATAATAAAATTGAATAATTATATTTTTAGCGACTAAATTGACATGCGATCTTAGTAAGGCTGCTGCTGAAGTTGGAGCGGATGGAGTCTTGGTGATGAGCCCTTTCTACTTCAAGACCAGAATGACAGTAATCCTATATTTTAACATTTGTTATAATTTATTTCATGTTGTTTTTTCGATTAAAGTACCTGAAAGCGTTCAAATAAAAATTGTGCCGAAAAGGTTTTCATTTCAAATAGGGAACCAAACTTATTATTACTCGTTAAAAATAAACTCATATATCTTAATTATTGAGTTAATCATTTCGGGTTGATTTTAATGAGAATAAGTATTTTTCGATAGAATGTAAATCGTAAAAATCAAATTTTTTTTCTTTTTCACTTCATTTTTCCATATTGTATAGCACTTGAGTCAAATTCTAGAGAAATTAATACAATAGAAAACTCGAATAATTCTCCGTAACCCAATGGCTATGAATTTCACTCGATTGAATTGTAGTTTCAACTCGATTATAATCGGTTAATTTAAATTTGGATGAATTTTATAAAAATTACTGTGTTCGGAAAATGTATCATAATGCTTATGGGTAAGTTATTAAAAACAATTTCAATACATTTGGGCCAATAATATTGTGATATGCTTGAGTAATCTTTTTAATATTCTGTTTTATCAATTTAAATTATTTTCCCAACACTTTTCACTTAAAAATTAAATCCAACGCTTACGATAACAATTTTTTTTTTGTGTGCGAAAAATATTATATAAATGATTAGTCAATATTTTTAATTCTTTATTTTGTATAATCCATATTTGCTACTAACACTATTGAACGTTTTAAGTGTTCGAGCGAAACTGATAAATGATCATACCATATATATTAAGTTTAGATGAATACAGTATTTTATAATTATCTTTTCGATTTAACATTTTATATTATACCCTACTCGCCCAAGCACGTTTATAATGATTGTACATTTTTTATCTCAGTCCATAAATTTTGTACGATACTATTGGCTATTGCGTTCAGACGGATAAAACACAAAACAAGCATTGGAACGGTTTTATTATGTTGCATTAGAGTTATCGGATAACGTTATTCGAATCCTAAGCCGATTAGTGAAATCGTAATCCACCCAAACTCATCGTTTTTTTTCTCTTTTTATTTTTATCGTACATGTAAAAAGGTGATTCGCTCGAATCGCATGACGTTCTTATATTTCAGGAGGATTCGTTGTACAAACATTTCGTAACGTTGGCTGACTCGTGTCCGGCGCCCGTGATAGTGTACAACATGGTACCGGTGACTGGTATCGACCTGAGCATCGGAGTGTTGAAGAAAATGGCTGCGCATCCGAACATTGTCGGCGTGAAAGACAAAGACGTAAACAAATAATCTAATTGGAACACAAAAAATATTAATTGTTTAACGGTTCTCTTTTTATCTTTCTCTTTCTCTCTTTTGGACTACTATATCGTTCACAGATGGCGAAACTCGCAGCTCTAGTCACGGAAACGCGAAATCTACAATTCCAAGTCGTCGCTGGTTCCGCGAGTTATTTATTGGCCGCAATGCTCGTCGGTAAACGCGTAAACTATTGATTCTTTTTGAAAAACAAATCGATTTCATTTGTTCTTCTTCCGCAGGATGTTCGGGTGGTATAAACGGTCTCGCAGCCGTACTCGGTGAACCGTTGTGTAAAATGCACGCACTGGCGATGGATGGTCAATGGCAGAAGGCTTTGGAACTGCAAAGGAAACTCGTCAATATTGATTTGCTGGTAAATTATTAAAGTGATTTAATAAGATTAAACACACACAAACACCCTTTTAATCGTAAGAATTAGGAGAGTAAAATATTGCGCTGGCATTGAAAAATTGTTAGCGGAATCAAAAACATGGTTTACAATCCGATTCGAATTCAAGACAACAGCACTTGTTTAATATTTAACACAGTCCAGATAATGTAAAATGTAAAACCATTTTTACCGAATCGCCAATTTTCCTTTTTCGTTTCGTTTTCTTCTTTTCGTTTTATGGACCAAATCGGTAATAACGTAAATAACTAAACCGTTCCGCGTAACACGGTCGTCGTGCAACGGCTACCACACGATGATGCTACAATAATTTCAGGACTGACGTCCGAATACGCGCGTAAAAATTGCGGATGATCGACAATCCGATGATTGCTGCAATTGTCTTGAATCGTTTCGACGTAAAAATCAAATCGATTGCACGTCGTACACTCTTTCGTAGACGTCGCGATCGTGGGTACTTTTAGCGCACTAATTTAATTTATTTATTTTATTAATTTTATTAAATAATTTATGCTGACTTCGTCGTCCGTTGCCGTGTTTCTAGTTGATGCAGGAGTGCGGTCCGGCTGGTCTGAAAGCCGCCATGGAACTGCTGGGCTACAGCGGAGGCGCGTGCCGTTCACCGTTGCCACCGATATGTGACGAAAAGGTCGAGAAGATCAAACGGACGCTGGAGGAAGACGGGTTTTTGTAATCCGCCGGGGAAAAAGTAAAAACGAACGCATTTTTTATTTTTTACAGAATCATGATATCTTCGTATTACACACAAGTCAATACACGTTGTTATTTTATACACGTGACAAAAATAATAATATAATATAATCATATCGATACATTAATACTTATAAACTAACGATGGCCTAACGTAAACATTATTATTTAGATATATTACGTTATAAATAAATTACATACAAAACTAATTTAGGAATAAACACATGTTTTTTTTTTTTTTGTTTTTTTATCATTTACGATTCCATTGTTTTGGAAACCTGTAATAATACGGTGAAGATACTCGAAGTTGACTTAACGTGATTGAAAAGTAAATGTCTACATCAAGCTTTGAAGTATTTTTCCTTTCGATGTTTTGCCATGGCACGTTTAACAGTTATGATATTATACATTCAATAAAGTACATATAGGTATCGACAAAGAATTATAACAATAAAAATAACTATTTCAACGATTTTAGAATCCGTTGAAAGATTTAAAATAAAAAAAAAAATGTATTTATCAAGTCGAATGCGAAAATGACGATCAAAGCATTTTTCGTACTCCTCGGGTAAAAATTATATTTAAATATATCTATATATATATAAAAAAAGATAATAAATATATTGGCACTGTTTGTTTCGGTTTTCAGTTATACTTGTTTTGACTAAAAAAATATTTATCGATTTGTGTTTAAAATCTTGGTAACGTAAATAATAATAATTTAAACTTATCCGACTAAACATAAAAATAATTAAACATTGAATCCTTAACATTAACTCCTATTACTATAATATACAATATAATATATCACAAACGCAACGTTTCGAGGTCCCATCCAATGTTCATTGTAGAGGTTAACTTTGGAATCTCCATGGTGACAAATCTAACTCCGCCAAAATCTGTCTGCACGGGATTAATGCATTTCTGTCGGAAAAATTAAAAACGAAAATTTAAAACAAACACGCATCAATCGACAACGCTTCCGCTGCAGCGCAAAGCGTCCGCTTTCCGTCGTCGCCATTGTTCTTAGAACATCTAAACACTTACCCGGGGTTGATTTGCAGGAACGCGTTTCTCTGCATCGTCTGTATGTTGTCGCCAGTCAAACATATGAGTGTGGATAACGAGAACCTTCTGATGATGGTCAATTGATCTAAAATCATGTGTATCGTACGATGAGAAATAATACGTTGTCCGATAAATGTGCTGTATAAGGCGGCATGAATGTCGTTATAAACCGAACATAAGTCAACGTAACTCAAAATCTATGGTGCGCGTAAATGGATAAACGCTAAAGTTAAACGAACAAAAAAGGAAATGAGGAATGATAGAATGAAAATTTATTGAAAACGGTTCCATTTCGGAAACATGCAATGTGCGTGTCGTTGAAATTAAAAACTCACAGAAATAAAAACCGACCACATCAGTTCGTTTTGTACAGTAGGGTGCGTGAAGTTCTGGTGAGGAATCGAGGGCGTACGTGAGTGGAAATATTTTGGGAAACGCTGACCAAAGTGCACGGATAACTGCTAATGATAGACGGGAGTAATGATGAATAATGTTGTGTCGTTTTTCTTACCTGGTGTAAATGCTCCTGGCGCTATATCGTACTCGTAGAAGAAACGATCACCCGACTTGTAACGGAAGAACCCTTCGCCTAGAACGCATCTGAATGATGGGGTGGTAAGTGTTCCGGGTATGATTCTTTCGAGCATTCCACCGACCAAATAATCGATATCATCGGTTGTCGGGTATATTTTGGCTAAACGTTCGATTCTCTGAAAAATTTTCAATGGACCAAATAAAAACGGTTAATTGGTATTTTTATTTACCTATAATAATCATTTTTGGTTTAATATTCAGAAAACTAACCTCTTCGTCCATAACATCTCTAAGATCGTCGAATGACGTAGCTTTTGGTAACCCACACAGAGTCCTAAAATGATTATATGAGGGTATTCCCATGTCCCTACCACGTTGAATATCTTTGGCTACCAAATCTTGACCCAAAGGTCCATTTGCTCTGAACAGCAAATCAGTAATCTATATAAAAAAATAAAAAAAAAGGTCAACTGCATAAATATCAAATTCTATACATTTTTAACAAAAAACATATTTTCGAATGATAAAATATCAAGTTAAATCATTCAACTCGTGCTAACTTCGCTAATTCATATGTAACCAACAATTATTATCTATGGCTCTTAATACAGTAGAGTTATTTACAATTTATTTGTTTGAATATAACGAAAATATATTTAATATTTTTTATAAACAAAATTCACCCTAAGAATAATGCTATTTATCTGTAAACAATAATTGTACAGTATATATTATAACCATTATATTCATTCGGTTTAAGTGGTTTATAATTAATATTTTTAAAATATTACAGTTAGTTAATAATTTATATGTTACTATGATGTATGTTGATATTTAAATTGGTACACAATCTTAAAGTACTTCCAAGTATTATTGAGTATGTACTAGAAATTGATAAATAATATTAGCTTATAGTTTCGAATCGTTTTGATTAAAAATTTATTAGCTTTAAGATAATTTGAGTTCTTTAAACTTCTGCGATAGCCAACAAATTTAATTTAAATTTAAACGTTCATATTACACATTTAATTAAAGAATACTTGGTTATATAACATATTTGCATGGATATTCATTTTGGTAAAATGTTTATCCTTACAATGCTTCTTGATAAGAGTTATGATTGAATGAATAATATTTTAACGTAAATATTACTTACGGATATCGTATTATATATTTTATATATAATAATATTATAACAGTGAATTTTTGACCTACCTCTTCGCTGAAAAATATGTCTTGGCCTTGTTGCGGTTGTGTCGCTATGCCTCTCAAGAACATATCATAGTTACCAGGTCTTTGAATTATTCCAGGCTTGTTCATCCATTCACTGAAACGTGTCGGAATACCGCCGTTTTCACGATCTTCATTCACCAAGCTATAATACATTAATTAATTTAATAATTAAAAAAAATATGGTTCTTAATGAATGTAACCGTTTTGTTTACTTGAAAACAGATGGGACCAGACTGTGCAACGATCTAAATGCTCCGCCGGCAAAGCTAGCTAGAGTGGAAGGATTGATGTTTGAATTGTACAGATTACTATAACCTTGTTTCAGTGGAGAAATACCGTTTTCGCGTACATAGTTTTCACCTGTAGGTCGACGGAAAATAAATATTAAAAAAAAAATTATAAAATAGTTACACGTCATACAATATTGGAAAATAGAAAACAATTACGGTTGCTGTTTTATTGATTTTAAAATACAGTGAAAATAATAAATATATATTAGTTTTTCCAAATGAACTATCCAATTAGGTATGAAAAACCTTTTACTCTTGTACATTTCATTGATAATTATTCAAGATACGGCGTCAAAAATTCTTAAAATCATCCGTAGGAATTGAAAATTATAACCAAAAATGTAAATACCTATAGATGTTGTTAATAGTTTAATAGTTTATTTACGCCCATATAGTAAAATTGAGTTTACATCATTTATACAACAATTATAATATTAGTTATAAGTAATAATGAATAATGACAATATTGATACTAAAAATAATATTTAAAGATAGTTTTAATTTATAATGATTAATTTATTTCTTCTATGTTATATAAATAATGTATTATTTTCAACAAGTTATATTATAGATCATGATCTGAAGGCCATTACTAGATAAACAAGATTGATGTTCTTAAATAAATATTTGGATTTTAGATTCTGAATGAGATGAATGATGTGTGTATTGTTTTTTCGTGTATGCGTACACAATTTCGACAATAAGGATAATTACAGTATACAGAGATTTCTGATAGAAAACGTTGTTTGGAATTTTGAGCGTGGTCATTTTATAAATTTCACAGTAGCTTTTATAGTAATTTCGATAAAACTGCCGAAAAATTATATAAAAAAAAAAAAATACAGCTTATCAGTTTTCCATGGAATTTTTTTTTTTTTTGATGAATTGTAATACAAAAAAATATTAACTTTAGAAATATGAAATATACCTTTAATTTATGTATCACTGATTACTATAGATAGTATACTTTTACAAAGTATTTTCAAACTATTTATAACAAATTTAAAAAGTTATGTTTTCTTTTTTTTTTTTCAAAAATTTCAATTAAATAAATTTGGTTTGACAAAAAGTTTAATTTAGACATTTAATAAAATGTTATACATAGTGATTAAAAAAAAAAATTATGGACTTTTGAATTTTGATAAATTAATTTACATTATATTGAACTTATATATTTAAAACTTGAAAATTTAATACAAGATTTTTATACATATATTTTTGTACCTAGGAAAAAAATATTAGAAAACCGCAACAAGTATTTATAAACGTAGTAAAATTTAATTTTAACAAAATCAGATACTTCAACGAACTTTCAAGTAAATAATACTAATTATTTAGTCGGTTTATATGGTTTACTGATCTAGTTTATCTTTTTTCTCGCAGAATCATTTTATTTTTTAGAGTAATGGTACATTGGTTTCAAGTTAATAAGATCAATACAGCAACCTCCAATTCACTTATTCCTGTATCTCACCCCACCGTGGAGTCTCACCCGACCCATAAGTTGCGTCCTTTCATTTTCTGTTTACACAATGATATGTATAACACAAGTAAAACTTTTAATAAAGGTGAAATAAATGACAGCAAAAGCAAATATTAATATCTATTTTGATTTCCATACTGTATTCAAAAAGTTTAATCTCTTGTGTTAAAAATTTAAACCATATAGTGTTTGGCCATTATACAATATATTGTCTTTTTAACTAATAGATTTTACAAAATGTTTGATGAGAAAAGTTGCGCAGAAATATTTATTCAAACTTCAGTATCATAGTATCATAATGATTTAATTAATAAAGTTTTCTGTTGTTATATTTGTTATTATTTCAAAGACATTTGAAACGTGCTGCCGTTGAATTCTTCCATATCATCAAAAATTCATTAACGCTTTTGTTTTGTGCATTTATACTCAGAAAATCGAACGATTTTCTTAAACTACGTTTGTACAACATACCATACACAAGTTACTAATCATATTTGATAGTTATGTTATGTCATATTCGGTTTTTATTGACTCGAAACCTTTAGGGCATATAGATTTTTATAAATATACGTTTTGGGTATGAATTCCTTACCAATTTTTACGTCGAATAAAAAAGTTATTTTTTGAATAGTATAAATTCTCAACAAATGTATTTCAATAGGTAGATTTCTTTTCGGAATGATGTTTGAGACTTTTTTCCACAGTTACCTGCAGCTACAGCGGAATATTATTATTCTATTGAAACGGGGCAGAGCGTTTCGAATGCAAAATACTGTCTAATATTTATAACATATGAAAAATCTAATAAAATCCAGAGCGCTGTTAAAAACGGTTTGTGCCGAAATAAAAAAATAAATAAATAAATAAATAAAAAATTGTAAAAGAACAAAGAACAAAATAAGTATTCGAATGCATTTAGGTTACCCAACAAAATCGGCAGAAACTCGTTGTACGTGATGTGTTGGATGATTCCGATGACGAATTTTCTGGCTTCCTGGTACAGTATCTCGTCGGTCCACAGTGGGTTGAGCTGCGCGAACTCCGTCACCAAGAAGTTGTGCAACCGCAAAAGAGCCACTTGCGACACGGCCATGTCGGGATGTTGATTCACGCGGCCATCGCCTGATCGAGAACAGAGAAAATTACATCGTCTGAAAACGTCGTAAATCACGTGGGACGTGTCCGAACCGGCAGTACCTCCGCACCGGATCGCGGTTACAATTGCGTGACCCGGCAACCGCGGGTCTGACGTGCACCCGGAGCCGCGCAATGTTTTGTGTTTAATTATTAAACTGGCAAATATGCATCGCAGAACGGTATTGTCGACCTAACTGTGCAATCGGAACACCCCCTTGTTGCCCGAGTCGGTTTTTCCGACCGTGCACCATGTTATACGATTACGCGATACCGTTGTGTACACCAGAGTGGTTTTCAACTTTTTTCGATTCGCCCTTTCCCAACTTTTATTTATTTATTATTATTATTTATTTATTTATTTATTTTTTTTTTTTTAATGCAATCCCTGTGAATAGTTCGTAATAGAACACGAATTAGTTTTTAATAAGTATACTTAAATAAAAAAATAAAAATATCATAAAATTGTATATTTATAGTTTTCTCGTTTTAATGGGATACTTGTGCTTGGATTTTTTAAATTATTGTTCCCATATGAGGTTTTATATTAGAAACTGCTACTCTTATGTCTGGTTTTTTAACAAATACTATGTTTGTGACTGGAATTGTTAAAATACACGTTTAAGATACGAATGTAAATATATCCAAATATCAAATATAAATCCAATTAAAAATCGGTGACCACAATTGTTAATAAATAAAATAAAAATTTAAAAAAATAAAACCGTCGATAGATGACATTACGCTACACGCTAATTTATTCGATGTGTTATTGTATATTCGTGATAATTAAATTGATTGTTAAAATAATACATTTTGATATCAATATCCATTTTTTTTATTTTTTTTTGGCTACCCCCCTAACTATCTTTCGTGACACCCAAATTGAAAACCACTGTTGTACACAATGCAATGAAAGTAGAAGCAGATCTGTATGCTTGACGAGAATGTATAGGCAAAACGTTCGTTGGAAAACGGAACAATGCTCGGTGACTTAATGCAACATCGAAAGTAAATTTTAGACCACTATTTACTTAAGTTGAAATTCTCGAAAGAAACAGGATAAAATACACCTATTGGTTAATCGGATGTTTTCTATAATTATTCTTCCGGCGTTTTCGTAGCCCTATAGTCGATCGAAGAAAATTTAAAACTAATACATTCGTTATATTACACTCAACTCGTCATAACAAAACACGTAAATGTATTTTTACCATATAATGTATGAACAAAAAAAAAAAAAAATTAAAGATTGAAATATTATACGATCGTGGCATGTTATAGTGTTTTCTTATTACTTTGGCGACTGTAATGATGTGGTAGGTAAATCGATAATTTTTTTCCTCTGGCACGGCCGAGAAAAATATAATTTTTAAACATGATACAAAATGCACGTGGTATACTTTGTTATTTAGACCTGTAACCACCGCTTCATGGGTTCTAATAAATCGGTTTATGGCCTGTACGAATATTCACGTCGTATTTAATTGGTTATCTGCATCCAACGTGAACGAACAAACTTTCGGGAAAAAACTCATAGAAACCGGGAACCGCACCAGCAGACCAGTACGTTTTCCACGGGTTCAGATCGCAATATCCGAGACGATCGACGATGCATATACGTTTATGACCGTTTTTTTTTTTTTTATTTTATTCCCCCTGAGAAACCAACGCTATATATTTGGCTCACCCGCTCTGTAGCAGACTTCCGAATTCGTGGCCACGTTGCAGGACTGTGTGGGCGTATTGACGTTGGGCATGAACATTCGGCCGTCTCTCGTTATCTGTGCCCTCATCCTGCCCGCTCTGAACGACCTTAGATTTCCAGCCGTCTGACCCGTCGCACCGTACACCAGAGAAGCGTCCAGGAAATGGGTCGTCGCTATCACCTATGCAGGTTATTAAAATATATGAATATATATATATATACATATATAATGAATTATTTTCAAAGCTTCAATTTCGACACGCACGCATTTCCATACGATAAGCTATCATGATCGATTCTGTGTCCTCCAAAAACGATTTTGACTATTTTTATGTTTAATTAAAATGTAATAATTGTATTTGCTTACAGTGGCTGATTATTACCAACACGAAACTAATCAAAATAAAATTATTTAATTATTTTTTTATAGATCAAATGATTATACGATTCAACAGCACACTGTTGAATAACATATAATAACAAATAATCTCTCAGCAATATCACGAACTCATAAATTGGAAAATAATATAATAGAAAACGAATTGAAATACGGTTCGTGATTGAAATTAAAGTGTAACTGTTTAAAAGTGAATTGATAATCCCGAGAAAAATTATTATAACCTTAAACCCTCAGAAATCGGTTGTTTTAGTGGTCTTAAAAACAATTTTATTTGATTCACTCGATTGTACATCGTTATATCCGTGCCGGATACATAGTAATTAGTGGCCAAATGATAGGCGACCATGTATTTCAAATATATGAATAACACGCGCACAGTATAGATCAATAATAAGAAACAAATTATGGACTTTTAGAACATACATACTCGTCCTAGACGTGCGATGTACGGATCATTGAACAAAATCGGTAACATACTATATCGATAATTACAAATAACAAACCTTTTGTTGCGGTTTTAATGTGCATCCAAAGTCATCCGAGGATACGGTTCTTTTGGCCGGTAAACATGCTGTACCGAATCTAGAGTAAAAATGATCGTTGGCGGGTACAGGGATGGGGAAACAGTTGGGATGTAATGTTTCAATAGGCAACAGTTTACCGTTGCTAGCACAGCAGTCCGGAGCTGAAATCAAAATTAGAATATCGAATTAAAATCTCACTTATTTTACAATAGATCTTGTGGAATGTTGGTTCTATCGCTGTAGTACATGACTATATTGTGTCGATACAATCATTCGATTATCATCAAAAAAAGGACTTGCTTAGGAAGAAATAAAAATCCTGTCAAGAGGCGCGAACACTAATAAATATCTTCAATTATGAATTATCTATGTTTAGCTTTCTAAAAATCGACTGCAGGGAAGTACTTACAATAAAACTTCGTGGTTATTAATTTTGACCAATAACCACATTACAATCGTGACCAACGTATTGTGCATTGTGCTACAAACAAACATTATACGCCTACAAAAATTATATTATAACACGTAGAAATAAATCATTCAGTAGTGTTTCTGTTTTTATTTGCTTATTATAGTTTTTTTAAAACAGACAATTAATTTGAAATAAATAAATTTGTGTTCGATTCGAAAGCGTATAACAAGTTTTTGTTGTAGCTCAAGTATTAAGTTATAAATGCATAGCCATTATTTTCATAAAATCGTAGACTTATTACACACTTCGGTAAACATGATTTCTTAAAAAAATAAAATAAATAAATAATAAAAAATGTTCAAAAGTTGTTGTACTAATATTTAAATATACGAAACTGGAAACAACTTGAGCATTTTGTCTTTCGTATTGTACCATGTGTTCGATATGTATAAAATCAAACATATATTTTTTAATATAATTTATATGTATAAATTTTATTAATATCGTGCATTGTTTTCAATATTGAGTTCTACGTTTCCCCTTGAACTCTTTTTTTTTCCAAGTTATGTGAAAATATTTCGTACCTATGCACATGCGTATGTTATTATATAAATACATTTTTATATGTAATAGCATATCCCATGGAACAAATGCTATGTACACCGCACACGTAAAATAAAACGACTGTAACAATGAGATGTTGTATTCGAATGCGATTTCACTGCGTTTATAAATGTTCATCTTAACGCGCTTAAGCACATGCACATTAAAAATAACGACAATAGTATTATTCACGGATTTCTAAAAAAAAAAAATATAAACAATTTCTGATGGTAGAAAACACGGTGATCGACAACCACAGTTGTAAATCGCTCTTGAATCGGTTTCGAAGATAAAATAGAACAATACGTTGCGCCGTTAAAATTCCACACCGTTTTCATCGGACACACATACGCGCTATTAGCAGCAATACGTCAGGAGCATATAGATATTTCGTAATCATAAATCATCCGGTTTTACGGTCGAAAATGTAATATCGAATAAATTTCGGAATCGCTCGAACGAAATACATTTCACATGTCTATAGAACTGGGGGTTTTCTCGGGACCGCACAAAGCCCGACATTTATTTTTCACCCACCGCAATATCAATATCATATATATATATATATATTTATATGCTCGAGGAGGGGAAAAAAGCGCGTGTTAAGTGTGCGCGTTCAACACATTATGTGTGTGCCGAGTGAGATTTTCGTACGACAGCGGTTTTCCAATACAAAACGGAGAAAATACGGAAAAATGTACAACACCTATGTCTTACGTGAGACCGTATGATCTGGAATATTTTTCGTGAGATTGAAATTTTCAGATCTCCTTGATTTACTGATCCATTTGTGTTCCGCTCGGTCGACGAGAAAAACATAGCCATAGCACGAGATCCTGATCACACGCCCTTTTGCACCGGTAGTAATAATTACGGATTTCGATTTTCGTATTTAATTACTTATTAGTTTTTTTTTTTTTTTTCATTTATTTCCCACTCCCGTGACAAGTGTAATGGAGCCGTCGACCGTCGGTACTGATGTGCTGTTTCCGACCGGATGACTTGACACAAAACGAATGGGCGTGCGCCGAACGTACGCGTAGTGTTACGTTCCCATCGTTACGTCGTGTACGATTTTCAAAGCCGACACGACGTTAATCGCGAGCGGCGGCGTCGATGGAACGCGTAAAGAAATGAACCTATACGACGTTTTCGCTTTCTTCCGTATTAATAATTATTCCGAACTACACCATGTATACTACGTGCCCGTCGTCCGAATGTGCGACTCGCGGTCGGGACGACAATAGGTGAAAACGGCTTCATCGTTAGTGAAAATCATCACGCGCCAAACCGTTATAACACCACAATAATAATAGTAATAACAATATCAATAATAACAATATTATACCACCGCCGGTTACGTAAAAGTCACTTGCAGCGTACAATTTGTGTTGGCTCGCAAAAAACCTCTGTGATTCGTTCGGTCCGTAAAAAAGTGTGTTCAACACGGAGACTTTGAAGTAACTCTCAATGAAGTAAAAATAAATGGACCCACGTCATTTTTTTTTTTTTTTTTTTATAGAAAACGCAATACACATTATATACCTTTAAGAATCCAAAAATTATTGAAAATATGGTGTTCGCAAGGTGTTGTCTATTTGTACGTTTATAATCGTTGGTAAAAATGAAAATATATTTCGTACGGCAAGTGTACGAATTGTCCACAAAGATGGAGTCGTCTACGGTTATCTTTTCAATTTTGTTTTCCTTAACTGTCACCGCAATCGGTCATTCCGTGGCTTCAACTCCTTCATGGCTCGGATTCCGAAGGAGTTGGAAAAAGCCATTGCACCAGAGCATCATTCGATTTTCGGAATATAAACTAATGGAAACCATCTTACAGATATTAATTTCAAGAGGCAATATTTTTAACCTTTGAACTCTCAATATGCGTTTAATTTAGGTTCTATTTTCAATTGTACAATTTTGTATAAAAGATTTCTTAAGAATGTTCCAATAAGATCCTGTACTTTCGATATACGCTATTATAGTGCCTACCGCTAAACGACAAGAGATAAGAAAAATGTTTGCCCACGACAAACTATCGTATTACAATTCACGGTGTTCTCGTATGCCGGTTCGGTTTCAAATCGAAAAATCACGTCGTGTTATTTTGATGGATCAAAAGCATTTTTCTGTTATTTACGGCCAACTCGTCCGTACAAGATTAAAACGAAAAATAAAAAAAAATTGAACAAACAATTTCCCCAGGATTCCGATTGCGTACGAGTTCACGTACCTACGTCGAGAACGGTGCACGGTAATAACGTTATTAATATTTCTCAACCTCCATTCGGTAAACATGCCGATGGACGTTCTTGTACACGGTTACCGACCAATAGTAACGTTGACGTGGAGCGAAAACTTTGTAAATATGTAACGTCCGAACGGACGAGATCGAAAGGAACAACACGAATATCGTTCGTATTATATCCTTAATCCTATCCGTAGTTCTACTCCCGTGACGCTAGATCTAATGGGATAGTCGCCAACGGCATTTTCGACTATAACGGCAGCTGTCCACTACTAAAACTCGCCTCGCGCAGTCGCATTTAATTATCATCACGTATCGACGCGTACATCTATGACGTTGAATTCGATTTGTTTTCGATACATTCATAATTATTATCTTATTATTGCATTGTATAATAACCGAGCGAAAGCCACGGTATAACAATGACGTAATCCGATCGAACGTCGTCCGATGTCCACCGGTTCGGCGACGTTCATATGTTAGTAAGTAACTTACGTATAACTAGTATTTGACTTATGTACATCGTTTTAAACTTGTCGCAGTACTAATATCGTATACAATAACGTTAATGACACGCGCTTTTCATATTCTGGTAAAGAAAACCGATATAGTAACTACGTTGTTGGTGCTTCGTCGAAGAATAGCACATATTCTTAAGGAAAATGCCGATTGTAATATTACATTGTGTTCGGTACATTTTTACTTTCGAATATTGGATCTTTAACTATATTTGAATAGAAACATTTTTATTTTTATTTTTTATTTTCAAACACAAATCCAAATTAAATGTATTTTTCGCAAGATCGATCAATTGTTCGCAGTTATGACAAACGATAGTAAAAATCATTAGAAGCATCTTGACGGTGAAATATCTAATGAAGATTATGTGATATTTAACATTTAAAAAACATTACATTTACGAGATTATATTTATTTCCAAGAGAAACATAGTTATGGTATGAAAAGGGGTTGTAAAGTGGTGTGTACATAACAGTGAAAGGACTTTTATTTTTTTTTTTTATCAATTTAAGATCTTGTATCAAAGGCATTGCTTTTCGAGGTAACCGAAGTTATACGTTATATTTTTTTCAGTTGGAAAAAAAGTGTACAAAAATCCATTTGTAACAATCATTACGAAATGAAATACTATTATGGAGGCTTTTTTTTTTTTTTTTATCACAACCGAGTAAAGTTTATGAAAAGAAAGCTTACTGTACTTAACAACATAACAATTCTTATATCTTCAACGTGCGTTTGCATACCATTAAAATGTTTAAATTTATAGGTTAATTTTTATTAATATAAAAAATATAAGTATAAAAAAATTAGTTTCATACAGTTAAATGTTTATGAGTCACGTTTAAATATATAGTCAAATATTAGGAACGAAAAGTCATAATATACAAAACGTATTTTAAAATTTAAATATATACTGAGAGCAAACAATGATGTATAATTAATACTTGACTATGCTCTTTATTTCATTTAGTGTTTTTGCAGAATTTCAATTATTTAAATTTTTACATATTTGTTCGGTTATAAATATAATAACGTATTTCTACACGCAAAAAAAAAATAGAGAATTTCACTAAAATAATGAACAATGATGATTTACGCGAATAATTGATTTTTAAAATTGAATAGGATTTATACTTGCAACGGAGTGAAATAATATTGATATCCTATCTGGATAATATTATTTGTAAGTACCATAAAACATAGAATATATAGTCTCATAACCGTGCATTTTATTCTTTACGAATTTGATTTATTCGATTTATATCGTTACCGTGTTTTAATCGAAACGCGCAATCGACTGAAAACTGTTAGAAAAATATTATAATATGGCATCCGGTGACGCTGCAATATTCTCTCAGATCGAATACCTATTTTATGTACATATTTTTTTACGACTGTGAATTATTATTTTTCCACGTTCCGCTTTCGACACTGATAATGGGTGTGTTACGAAATTTTCAGTCGATTTCCCAAAAACCACCGTTTAATCGTCAATGTTATACATGATAACGTGCGCCGCGAATACGATGCACAAAATATCGAAAAAAAAAATTTAAATAAAAAAAACAAGCTGAATATTTCTTGACCATGTTCTCACAATGTCACGGTCGTGGTGCGTTTATGTAATGCATTTCCATGCACAGCGCGAGATCACGATCAACAATATTTTTCAAAATCCATTTTTTCGAGAGCGCACGTACGAACAAATTTGCTGTACGATATCGTTGTAGGAACTTTACGGCTGAAATTTATGATATTATACAGCTGTTAATCTCCGATAGAACGCGATTCGTGTGCTTGCGCGAGACGTAAGGCCACCGAGCACACGCGCGATGATAAAATAAAATTAACCGCATTCTTAATCTCTCTCCGTACGTACATGTACATAAAAATATTACATACATTTCTTTCTACTGTTACGTAGTAGTAGTATTAGTAGGCAATAATTATATATTACACGTGGCCCGCTCGGTGTTGCACACGTAAACGTGTGTACGGTTTACCGTTTACGGCCGCGTGTTTTCCATCCATTGCCGCGTACGTTTGCGATGCGCGCCTGCACAGGGTCCTGCGCGTGTGCACTCGATCCAGCAAACGGTCACCAGAACGTTTTTCACGCGGCCGTAAAGCGTTTCGCGCGCCGAAAAAGGCGACCGACAAGGAAAGCCCGGTCGGGGCACGCGCGTTTCGTTTCCTGGCCCTGTCGTTCCGTAGTCGTTGGAAGTCGAATCGGTTCACGTATTACCGCCTGGCGCGTGCGTTCGACCGGGAAAAACGTCACTGTCGCGCGTCGTCCTCGCCGCGATACTACACGTGCCCGACGACCTCGGTGTCCAAAACGGGGAAGACCGGAACGCACAGGGTAGGCGCTCCGACCTCGGACCTCGTTCAATTAAAGACGCGTTCGATCGCACGATCGAAATATTACAACGACGCGTTTGTGTGGATATTTTATACGCAAGTTTTGATGAGTGCGCGCACACGCACACTCACATCCTGTAGACCTCGTCGGAATTCGTTTTGACACGTCTCATTACGCCGCGCGTTCGATGTAATGACGTTTTACAAGGAAGACGTCGTCGTTTAATTAAAAACGATCGGACGATAGTAATTCATTTATGCGGTTTCCTCATATTTCTCGTATCGAAAATCATACGTTTGCTTTGGAAAGCTTTTACGACCGGACCAATCAACGGACGGGACACGAACGAACTGCGCGAGATGATGCTACTATTTCAAGAAAAATAATACCGTAGTGTAGGAGGCCGTACATAACGTCTGGTACGTGTAGTGCAACCGTGATCGAAACTATGTCAAGTCCGTGACCTCGTCACGTTCAGCAGCCACCGCCATACGTGGATAAATCACGTTGCACGTTTATGTATTGCAGGGTGCTCTGCACGAAATCTCCGCGAAACCAAGAAGTTGTGTTATGAATTTTCGTTTTCAGTATCAATACATATAGTAAATCATGGTTTATTCTTGCCGAGAGAGAGAGAGAATCATTTCGTCATTAATACTAAGTACACAATATCGATTTAGATAACCATCGTAAACGATAACCGTCCTCTTGAGAGGGACTGGGATATTTAGCTTGAACATAAATCGTCGATTTTCAATACTACCCTTTTATGCGCCAGTTTACCCGACATTGCTCCAAGTATATTATGCATATATCTAAAAAGTAATAAAATGTAATAGGTTTGAATCATTAAGCAAGTTGTGTGCACCATAATTATGCAATTGTATTCGCGAAACAAGTGACATTTATCAGTAAAGTGAGTTATGCGTGAAATTAATTTAGAAATATATGATAGTTTAATATGCTATGCACATTGTATGGAAATTGCATGGTATTTTTATTGTTGAAACATTTTTAAACTATGCAATTACCACAGTAGATATAAACTTTTAAATGGATTTTCTGTAAAATAACAAATACCACCATTCAACTGTACATGAGTAATTGTTATAAAAGTCTAAAAATCAATTAATACACACACAAACACACACACACGAAAAAAAAACTTGATTTTTATTGTTTAGACAGAGTCATTTCTTAGTTACACGCTAAGTCGTGTCCTTCTGTTTTATTAAATATTGTACTAAACACTTAAAACAAATGCAATTTAGAATCACTATTTTTAGTAGTTATTATTTAAGCTCTGTAAATGCCTTATTTGAATACAATCTAACATATTTTTTAACGTTTACGAACCGCTAACTGTTTTGACTTAATAGTCGCATACTAACAACTAATGACATATGCGTAATCTTTCGACTTAACGTTGATGTTGTCGATGATAAAAGTGCTTTAAAAAATATTATATCGATTGCATATACATCGTCATAACAGGATGTAGAATACGATTAATTACACTAAATATGCAACACGGAAACTTTGAAAATTGTTAAGAAAAAAATATATAAATGTTTTATACCTAATCATCCATTGTAAGATAACTGGATGTAAGATATATTGCACTTGTAAATAAAATGTTCATACGGTTGATAAAAAATTGTCGTTTGTAACCAACGAAACACAACGTGTTGGATACTAATTACTACAGTGGCGCAACCAGGGGGTGGACTCCGGGTCTGGACCCCCCCCTTGGTACGTATAATAGTATATTAATATCATATTCTAGATATATATATTATAATTTTTTATTATTTGTATATTAGTTTATTTTGTCAGACCCCCCCCCCCCCATGAAAAATTCCTGATTGCGCTACTGAATCACTATATGATATTACGGAGCGAGTTGAAATATAATAACAAATCTTTAAATGTTTTTATTTTTTGTTCGAGATTTTACTTAGAGTTCTACTGGATATTTGTAAAATGCAAAATATTTTTTTTCAAATGTAAAAATAAATACTATAAAATTTTCAATGAATCCAATGCGTATAAAAAAAAATGTTTATACAATTATGTATAATGTTCAAGTCTATACTGTGCAGAAACTAGCTAGTTTAAAATGTTTACAGGTCTCGTACACCTCAGAATACATTTCTAATCAGTTGGGTATGATGACTTGAGTTAGTTTTCGAAAACATTTAAAGTGTTTTAATTAAAAGACGTCGGTGAAATACATTTAATAAATACGTATTTTTCGTTTCTATTCTGTAATATGTAGTATGCTGTATAGTGTATAAAACACTCTCGTCAGGCGTTTTACCAAATTAAGTCAGTAACCGGTCAAAAGTACTTTTAAATTTTTTTTTAAAAAAACTTAGTAATACTGCTATGTATATACTAATATATTATACTTATAATATAAAAAAAAACCGTTCATTTCTATACAGTTGATCATAAACTGTAAACAATTTAGAGGATTTAAAGCCTCCCTAACTATTTATGTTTTCGGTTTCGTACTCACAATCCATTATAATGAAGTAATGACATTTATGAGATCCCCGCCACCTACCCCGTTAAAAGTAAGCGAGAACAAGTATAGACTTCGCTTCGGCTTACCTGATTTCTCTGTGAGCAGGGTGACGTCATGAGCAACAATTTGCGCCCACTGCATAACGGCAAGCGTGAACCGAATGTCGGGCACGTTCCTCTCCGGGAACAGTGTCGTACGGATTAGCCGGGCACTGGGAAGCACTCGTCCGAACGAGGTCAATCTCGGTCTGCTCTCGCCTGTAATGGGTACGAATAAAAATTATTGTTTGTACACGCACTTGATGTGCATTTACACGCCGTCCGCCGGAACAGAGATGTTTGCATGGAAAAAGAGTGAATAAAATAAGAAAAATGAGCATTGACTTTATGCGTATCAACACGTCGATTGGATATCATTTTTGGAACACTGATTTCGGTTTATCCAAAAGCGTTTAACAATGAGATAAGTACATCGCTGTTCGAAATACACAGCGTATATATACCTATTCATTCAATGTTTAGTAATTATTTAAAAAAAAAATTAAAATACCTATTCGATAAATATTCAGTATACAAATTGAAACATTGAAGTAAGTATTAGCCATTTGTACAGTTTTCAATAATATTTAAACATTTTTTTTTTCGAGTGTTGATAAATACGTATTACATGTTTCAGGTTCAACGTGAAAAATCAAATACAAATTTATATATACATTTAATGTTGTAAAAAGCTGTTATTTTATACATCTAAATTTCAATCGCGTTTAAATATTGTTTTAGTACGTTCAACTGTAGAACAATGTGCTTCTGTGCGCTTTCTTGAGCGCACCGATCGAAATTCTCCAATAACCAAAGCCGCGTTTAACGGGAGAAAAGTAGGAGAGGGCAATTGCAAATTTTATGATGTTTGATGGGGCAGCGAATTTTTGAGGATCAACATAAAATAAAAAATATAAAAATAATTTTTCTTGTATGAATTGTATAATTTTAATACATTCTATTACATATATTATTTTTTATTTTGAATTGTAATTTTCCTAAGGGCGGCATTTTTTGACTTGCCCCTAGGCGGCTATATAGGCGGCACTGCCGATAACCCGTTGTGTTCCTTCTCCGGTATCCACGCGTACGGCGCGGGCGCGTGGACACATGTTGTCGCGTGTCCGGTGACACGTTCTGCGGGTCCGCCGAGCGCCGGATGTACCGGTTTCGAAAAGAAAGTAAAAACCGATCGTTGCCGTGCGCCTACGCGGTGAACGAACACGGACGTACACGTGCTGCGATCGGAACCGCTGAACAGAACGGATTTTCGGACGTCCCGAGGCGATTGCAGAAAAGAGAGAGAGAGAGAAAATGTTTCGAAAGTTTTTCGGAATTCCGTTACCGTCGTCGCGGTCGCGTCTACGTAACAGCTGCTCATAGCCCGTCGTAACACGTTGTTATTACGTTGCGGTCGAAAACCGCGTTTTAAGTGACCGTCGGCAACACACGCACTTTTGGTTCGGACCGGACACGCGTCCGGTTGTCATGCGACGTTTTACGTTACGTCAATCGGAGGTGACGTGCTGACGCGAACCATCGGCAGAAGTCGAATGCGCGGTGAAAAAATTCAAATCTGTATTCGCCACACGACCGCGTTCGAAAGCTGTCCGTTGGGATCGCAAAAACACGGACAAACTCCAGTTGGATCCCAGACTTCGAATACAGCATGAACTGGGTTCGGACGTATTTCATATACAATGATTACCAAGGCGGCGTAAAGGAAGAGAAAGAAAATCATCTCTTAACGCTCCTAAACACAGTGATAATATGAATGTCCCTTCATCTCGCGTCAAACGAATCGGTATAGTGATAGTCTTTTGGCCGTTCGTCGATCAGTGAATGAGTGACTGGTACATGAATATCGTACGTACACGGACAATACACCTACCTACCCTACGGCACGGAACTCTGGTGAAAATTGATACCCTCGACATGCGCGCGGCGTTTGTTGTTCAAATTTCCCGTAGCATGCGTGGAATGATATTATATCGCATCGAAACGCTCCGTACTAAGGAACGTTCGGATACGGCGAACGGTAACCATGGTTACCCACTGCACATTATTAACTGTTTGACTCCGACGAATACGATTAAAAAAATTTTCGCTTTACTTTTTTTTTTTTGCCATACCACGCGTGTCGTAGTAGTAACACACATATTAAAGTACAGGTGTGTTGTACTAACTTTTTTCATCAAAAATGTGTCACCAGGGATGCATACCCTGTATAATGTGTCAAAATACGGGTGTGCGATATTTTAACTGTTTCGCACAGTGTCACTGTTTATTGTAATAGATATTGTAATTTATTTATTGATGATCTATGAATCGTTGAGTGTTCGATTCACTCGGAATTTCTTATGAATTTTCCACGAATACTGTGATTGTAAAAGATCTAACAGCCACGTCGCCATTATTACGGATCGTGATTTCGGATCAACAGATTGATAGAGTAAAAATGTTTGGTCTCCAAGAGAAGTTTATGTTCATAAGTGTGCAATAAGTATATGAGTAGAAAACGATTTTTCCTTATTCTTTCTAACCGCAAATTAAAATTGATTAAACAAAAAACGAATGTACAACATTAAAATCGGAAAATAAAATAAAAATATGTAATTCGAATATTGGAAAACAACGGTTTGGATTCTGGGCTGAATTTAGAATAAAGCGATTGGGATACAGACCAGGGACATAAAAAAAATTCTTTCCCCCTCAGTTTTGTAATTATTTAACGGTGAACACAGAAAAATGAATTCAATTTAAATGTACGCATAAGTCAAGCATGTAGTTAGAAGAAAATAGTGAATAACATTTAACATTTCAAAAAGCCGAAATGTATAGTTCGGTGGTACTGGAATAAAGTGAAAACCTAATTATTTTGTATCGCGAGTAAGTTCCCCATGTTTTAATCGAACTCAATCGTATGATATAGGTAGAAGTACCCGTCATATAATATGAGGTGAATATTTGATACGCTGCAGTATTATAACGGTTAAAATAAACACCTAATATATAATATTGTGTGTATAGCGTTTTAAAATAATTGCATATCATAATGACCAGTTTAAAGATTTTATTTTTAACGAACCTTGATGAAACCGATCGAGTCTGTAATTATTACATACAGATAAAAGTAGACCAGTTCAAATGCGCCGTAAATCCGAAAACTTGTTTAATGTTATTAATCAATAACTTCGCAATTATGTCATCTAGATTTTCAAACGTACAAGTATGTGCCTATTATAATATCTATTCTGACGCGTACGAACCGTTACAGAAAGTGTTTCGCGGAAAGTCTACCGCAAAACAGTTTAAAACACGTTTGTAATACCAATTTAAAACTTGATCGCCGTTCGTTAAGACCCGAGTGAAAAATTATTATAGAAAGCCAACACAAAGCGCAACAGCGAATTCGTTTTGTATTACGCATGGTACATAGAACGACACGTGTCACATTTGTTTAATGTAGCTGTAAGCGACTGTAAATCAGAACCGCGTTACTGTGGCAGTAGCTACCGTTGAGTACTGCCTGCAATCGCCCTTTGTTTGAGAAGATGATTTGTTAACCTTTAAATCCGATTGCAATAGTATTGAATAAACCAATTGCATTTGAAAAACCGATGTCTACTAGCTCGACCCGGTTGAAAAAGTACTCGTCAGCTAGGTTATTGGTAAAATTATAGGTACGCGTGATATTGGATTGAAATCTTTGAAAGAAAATCGGTCGGCCGAACAAATCGTTTACGTAAATCCAGGAGATGGAACCGGTATTGAATACCGTTTTTGAATACCGGTAGAAACCGGAAGAAATGAGACCGATGTTCGGAAAGAACCGGATTCGAAACCATTCGGTTTTCACGAGAAACGTCAGCGACGCGAAGTGGCGTGCTCTCAGCTGTTCTTCTCGCGTCGAGTACGGGAAAATGTTCGTACCGGTTACCGCGGGGTGGATAACAATGTGGACCGAGAGGAAATCGGAAAAATCTTCATTCGTGCGTATGCATAGGTGCGGAGAAGACGTGCGGAAAGCAATAACGATTGTAAAACAACGTTTTATTTTTATTTTTTCTACTCACCGTCCTGGTACGCGGCCGGCAACAGTCGGACCAACGCCGTGTTCACCGAACCCCATCCCGGTTGCTGCAGGTTGTTGCAGCTGCCGTCGAAGCTCCGGTACCGGGCCCGCGGGTTGCACGGTATGCTGGTCAGGCACACGTCCGCCACGTTCTGCAGGGCCACGCTCTGGGCCCCCGTCACCATGGTGCCGGCGGCTTGGGACTCGGCCGCACCTGAAACAATAATAGCGACGATAATCGGACCAGCGCACCGAACACCGAAGAGCGACGTCATCGTTCAAATTGTTTACTGTTATTGTTTATTTTAATGTTACTGTATTCCCACCCCCCTCCCGCCCTCCCTCCGTGCCGATTACCGTCCGAGACGTGCTAACGCGGACGTGCGCGCGAAGTGTATCGAGCGGTTATCCGCGGTGGATCGAGCGCGACGGCGATCGATCGCCGATGATCGAAAACGTAGTTTCACGCGGCCCCGACCTCGTGCCGGTTCGTAAATGTTTTCCCATCGCCGTCGACGTATCACCACGTGGAAACCCTGACGGCGACACGAATCCGAACGGGAACGGAGACGTCGTCGGTGGGCGGGCGCGAGCGCATGGCGTTTACGCGCGAACGGAATCTCCGACGGTTTTTTCTCGCGTTGGCCGCCGCGTACGCGTGTCGCGCGTAGGACCGTTGTCGGGACGTCTTATAAATAGTCGTCGCACCGTCGTCATTACGGTATTGTTGTGTAATACGCGTTTGAAATACGTTCGGTTTCGTCATCCGCACAGCGTTTTATGGCGAATCGAAACGTCCGAACGATTATTTAGAATAAAAGATTCACGACCAATCGATACTCATACCGTCGGTTGCCCAACAACAAACGCGTCTGCGTGCCGCGACAAGGTAAAACTATCTTTGCACGAGTTATTACGCATAACAAACGAACGTTGTGTACAACCGTTTTTGGTACGAATGAATTGGTACATTCAACACGCCAATATTCCTCTGCCCGTCGTTTAACAATCGCATCGCGCAAACACAATTGTATTCCTGTCCAACGTCTATCTCGCAACGCGTTTATAGTGCATCGAAATCTCTCGTGAATACGATAATTTTGTAATTTTATTTTAATTCCAATAAGCTTTTACTTCGAATTTCCAAGGTACACTAGTACGTATGCACATCAACTGCTAAACGAATTCGAAGAATTGAATATGCATAAAAACATGAAAACAGAGATAACAAAGCTCCTCCGAAATATATGAATATTAGTTGCCAAAACCCATACGGCCTTATGTTAAAACACATTGAAAAGAGTCGTGTGAAAATACTCAAACACTTGTTCAGTACTCTCCCCTTATAGTGATGATATTTTAAAATGGATGCGTTGGAACACAAACTCCTACGATAATTCTTAAAATGTTCACAACGAATTAGTATGTGCATGTAGAAGGCTTTGTTGATGAATACAACAACTTATATTTTCCTTATTAGGAATACAAATACAACAGTGAAATGTCATACTACTAGATTATGTTAAATACACCGCTATCTAGCGGAAAATCAACACAATAGGGTTTTCCTGAACATGAACTAGATTTTCGTACTCCGTATTTTATCGAATATTTAATTCAATACAGAATAAAAACATCAAGTTAAAATCGATTAAAACAAATAAATTTGATTGAGTTTAATTACTGACCAACTAAACAAATATAGGTATCTATAGTTCACGAGCCGTAAAGTTATAAATTGTACGATGTTCTTGCTGTTCAATATAGGTAGCTCACTTTCATACAGCGTTTCCACGTGTTCGTACGATCGGTAAATGGTAATATTCGTGACGAGCTATTACCGATTTCCAAAAAAGTGCAATTGCGTTAAAAAAACGCGCCTGTTAATGTTTTTTTTTTTGGATTATTGGAAGGAAAAAATCAAAAAAAAAAAAAAAAACATATTCGTTAAACGATTAATCTGCACGATAAAATGCAACAACGAAATTCGTAGAGTTGTTGGTTTTGACAATGTATGGACAGCAGGAGCTTAGGCGAAATCGTGCGGTGTGCAATAGATTCCAGGTCACTAAAAGTTTTAACCAAATTATTGTAACGTGTTTTTAATTAACTCGGAGTGGAAGAAAAAAATATGTACCTATATAAATGTACGTGTTATTGTGTAAATGCACTTAATGCTGCGGTGCACACGTTGTTCGTGACAAATTCCATCACGATACGGTAGTTCACAATCGGTGGAGGCGGCGGAAACCTAACCGAGTGGGTTTCGTCGTCGGAAAGCACCTTTGAACTGTTGGGAAATCCGAAAACAGTTATTGATGTTGAAAGCATGTCCCTAGGAAATGTACGTCCGGTGCGCCGTGGCAAGGACGAGACGGAATGATAAAAGTCGTCGGAGAAAAACGTAAATCCTAAGATGAACGGAGCGGTGGTGAAATATTAAATGAACGGACGGGTTACGAGCGAAACCCCGGCATTAAGTATGAACCGGTCGAGTCGATACGAGAGAGATGAATAAAAAAAAATCGTAACAAAAACACAAGGTGTACGATATAAAGACGAAGGAAACACCATGAGGCCGTCTATTGTTCAAGAGATGTGACCTCGGGGTACTGCCATCGTTATCATCATCACCGTCGTCGACGTCATCGTCCGAACGTACAACATCCGGACATCGGTAAAACGTTTCCGATTCACGAGATCACATGATCGGACCGGACCATGCGCTAAGTGTTCGCAATAATAACAAACATTGAAAATAATAATAATAATAAAAATATATCTCGTCGGTCCACGTTCTCTCACCGCCGTCATCTACTCACTACTCATCATCAACTTCAATATCAATGCTGACTTCCTAATTTAATTCACAGCACAACGCGACCATTGTATAAGATCTTTGCAGTATCGCGAATTGAAAGCGAATACAAAAAAAAAAAAAAAAAAAAAATAATAATAATATATCACATTATTTTGCTATTATTCTCCGCTTGAATCGTGCTTCGTGCACTGAAAACCACGCGACCAACACTCCGCTTTACACGTTATACAGGGTGCACAGTTTCGCAAATATCGTCCTGCGTAACGAATCCTTGTTCGAGACATTGTTTTTCCACTCCAGAGGACAGACGTTTTTACGGTTAAATAATACTATCTGCACTCGGTGCAATTCGCTGCATCGCCATCGACCGATCACTGCACCCAAATCCCATATCGACAGCAAACCGTAGCCAATGGGGAAAAAAAATACTATATTGTTCCACTGTGCAGTTAACACTCTGTATAAGTAGCGTTCGAGTTCAAATTCGCAATGAAAGCAACCTTAATATTTGAAATGATGTATCATGATCCTTCGAACAATAACCGGCATACGGCTATATTCACAGACTTTCCTTGATCTACAGACGTGTATTATGATTATACAACAAGTGCACATAATGTTTTCCTTATTTACGCTTCGTGTTTTATGATCGACTGAAATTCATTAATCAAATCTATGCATGAAAAGTAAAGATAATACTGTGCTCTCACATAGATATATTATTATTTTTGCATTCGATGTTAAGCATATAATACCATAATAATAAATTGTTTGAAATATTCATCTGCACAGTGGATGTTTTACAAAACGTTCGGTTTCATTTCAAGACGTCAACACGTTCTGTGATTTCTCTTTTCGTCAATAAACAATTAATGACTTTGTAACTGGAAACACTCAAAAACGAATTATGTCAATTAGTTTCACACATTGATTACATCGATACCATACAAAATAAATATTTTAAAATGAGCATTTGAGAATATATCACCTATAAAAATAGTCAATTTCGAGTCGTACAGATGTACATGTGTTTTAATCCGTTTAAAATTATAATACAATGGAAAGACGAAATTTTTTGCAAAATTAGTTGTATTTAGATTTCAGAATCTACAAAACTACTGCGGTGTTACTGTTGGTAAAGCAGACTCATTATTAACGAGTAATTATAATTATAATAACATCATACTATATTATTCCAACAGAAGATGAAGTGAACAGAGATCTATATTAATATCATAGGCTCGAAGAAAGTTTGAGAAATATTGTCGATATTGTGTCTATTACAATCGTTTGCAAAATAGAGAACAAATACTGCGTTAGAATCAACAGTTACATTGTTTTGAAGAGAATCGTTAAAATTAAACGATATACGAAGAACTGGTTAAACAAAACGGTCTTATGTGCATATTAATACATAATAGTCCGAGTTTCGTTGAGATAAGATATGAATTTATTTGGAAAAAAAAAGGCCTTATTATATCAGTGCTGAACGTCGGAGAAATGTTTTAATAATAACAAAATGGAATCGCATTAAAAATGCGAATCTAATCTACGAACCGCATGAATAAAGTCGTATTATACGCGCGTACAACTCGCGGCGTATTCGAACGCGTAATACTATTATGTAGCATGTACGTGTGTAAATATAGTAGCTAACCGTATCTGAAACTCGAAGGTCGGGTAATTAAATTTGTTTGGTTCGTTGCTCACGAGGAAGTATGAGAATACGATCATGTGTAAATACGTTCGTTAGGGTCACCGGATGGGTTTTTCGAGAAAGGAAAAAAAAATTACAGAAACGAAGGTTTTACATCCGAATTCGCGTCGTTTGTTTCGCAGCGACTGGTACGCTGTGGCATTACACCTATGTGTTACTTTCGCGGTTTTTTAAAATACGCGCGCGCGTGTACACGCGGTGGTTTGATTAAAACGAAATCGCGCGATCGAACGAACGTAAAACGTTTTTGGTCTAATGATATTGTAAATTTTTTTTTACAGCTGTACGTTATGCATTATCATAGTATCGTGTATGTGTGTTTGTGTGTGATATATGTCGTCCAAACAATGATGGTCGAGGGTCCGTTAATGCACCGATCGAGGACACGTAACCGAGTTGCACTGGTTACATTATTATTATTATTATTATTTATTATTTATTATTTATTATTTATTATTTATTATTATTTACATTATTCCATCAGGACCGGGCGCGTATTTAAAATTCCGCGAATGCGTACGCGCGCAACGATTTGTACGATTATAATCAGTTGATTAGTGGCTTCGAAAAAAATAAATAATCGTCTATACTGTTATTACGATTTATCATCCCCGTAGATTCTGTTTTTCGGTTTTTTTTTTTTTTTTATATATATTTTTTCTTTTTCGACGTGGTTTTTATCGAAATAAATCTCGAAATCGTCATCAGAAACCGACTTGCAAAGGTTGCAACGAATCAAAAACCTTACGATATTATCGTTGTAATACTGCATGCTGATATTAATGTTTTTTATGCGCGCGTAGCATGTTGTAGCATGCCTGTTGCGAGTGCAAGTGTTTTGTTATTTCAATAATATCGAACGCTTCAGTTGCCGTACACGATCCACAGGTAACGTCCTGACAAACGTATCGTACAGCATTTAAACGCGTACGCATGTTCTTAACGGCCTTCAACCTTTATAATATAAATGACATTGATCAGTTAACATACGATGCGCGTGTAATTATTGGAACGTTATGAATTCCTATAAAATCTAATGGCTCCGGGATAAATATTTTGCTTTGAAGTTATTGAAAAGTATTTCCGATCGCGAGGAACATAAAAATAATAATAATGGTTATAATATTGTCGTCGGTGCCATTCAAAGCATACAAAAATAATAATAATAATAATAATAGGTAATAACGATAAATCGGGAATGACGTGTTTCGTAAAACTATTCGTCGTAAGAGTTTGTAATTACTATTATCCGTACATTATTTTCACTTGGAATGGCATCCGTTCAACTTTAATATGATTTACTCTTCTACATTCGTACGAATATATTGTTTGGCACTCCTACGTTATGGTAATTACACGTAATCGATGAATCTCTCCGTCATTAGTTCTGATTTTCTATTTAAACTTTCCCACTCGCTCGCCATACTTATTATTATTATAACACCGTAGTGTTAACGTCAATAAATACAATCATCATTCCGAACATTAGTACTCATATTTTGTTTGTTAAATGTTACTTCACGTGTACACGCGGCTAAGCGCAACAGTTTCCCGGACCGGACGATGTCGATTTTTATTGTTTTTCCTCGGATACGAACCAAACATGTTACATTATAATGGCTCTGCACTCGGATTCGTAACTTTCAAAAAAAAAATGTTTATAATTACGGTGCAACGCGGTCCGGCGGTAGGGATGATCTACCGACCGCAAAAACAATAGACACCAGAAACACTATTGTTCGACCCGGGTCCGTAAGCGCACATTATTGTGTAGTGTTACAATTATGTAGTGCATTTAATCGAAGAACAATCGCGCGTTTAATTATACCCGCGTTCGGGCATAATATCACGTCTCTCTCCGAACTCACCGATCCTGGAATTCCATGGCAAGAAGTCTGCGAAACTCTGTCTCCGGGTTCGGCCGTTCACGTTGGTCTGAAACAGAAACAATACCGATTCGTTCAATAGTTATTAATATTATTCAAAAATGTTAAATCGACCCGTAGCGCGGTGTAACACGGTCCGTGCGCCCGGCCGAATGCGCTTTCGCGCGATCTATATTCTATTTATCACGCGTAGCGATTAACACGCGAATGGGTTGACGGTGACGTACCCGCAGTCGCTACGGCAGAGCTCACTATGCGTACACACGTCATCAACTTGATGATCAACATTTGATTACCGAGGACCGTAAACGGAAGAAATCAAGTTTTTTGGCGGACCGAGCGTTTAAATTTTTTTCTTTGAGCTGATCGAATCGATTGGGTACAGACATTTTTAACATGTTCGATCGAGAGCGCCCGTATGGGGGGTGGCAAGGGAGGGATATACCCCCCCCCCTGAAAAATTTCAAAAATCTTGGAAAATTGTTTACTATGATCAGAATATAATTAAACAGAATTTAAAAATTTAATTTAATTTACAAAAATCTATAATTTGTTTATGAAAAATCTATTTAGTTTGGAAAATCAGGTTATCAGCTGTAAATAACAATACGCTTTTTCGTTTCTATTCTATGGATAATTATCAATTCTTAAAATATTGTGTATTTCCAGAAATACGGTATGTCTATATGTGTGTGTACACCACCATAACATTTATATAATATTTGTAAATTAATATTTTAATAAATATAACTAATGTTTTTAGTGTCCAATTTATATTATTAATTAAATAAAAATTTCAATAAATTACTTTCATGGTAAATTGGTTAAATAATTATTATTTTACAGTCTTCCAGTTTGATATATATAATGTAATAGTATAATGTAAAATTGTAAACCCCTTCCTATATCGTGGGTCATTCCTATTTATGAGTAGATTGATAAATTTATACGTTGTCCCTCCCCTTGATAATTTTCCTACGGGCGCCCTTGTGTTTGATGACATTTGCTACCGGACAAATCCGTAACCGCGATATGCGGTCATAAATCGAATTGTTTTACCGACTGTTGTTGATCGCGACGAACGATAATAAAAAAACGTTTTAAACGTTCACGGATTTAACATTTCGTTTATTTTTTCGATTTTCGTCTAAAGTCGGTCACCACTGATATGCGCAATCGGTCGTCCGTAATGCAGGCGCCACCGCCGGTTCGACACGAGTGCGCATAATATATGAACCTCGGGTGAGGCCGCCGACGGCGTTTCGCTCGTACCGTACAACGCGATGTACTGCGATGCGGGCGCACGTCCAGAAAAATATGTAAAAGAGGCGTTCGATGATTTATTTAAATTTTTTTTTTTTCCTTCTCTGGCGTACACGGATAGCAATGCGACATCTCATAAACACGGTTTGCAGTTCGTCCACGAGCGTCACTGCACAGCTCGCACATGTGATTTCGCTGCACCCCTTTGGTCGGACCGAGAAAAACGAAAGTCACCGTACCGCCGTGATTAAAACTTTTATCGTTATTACCGCCGTTGTCGTTCAAAAAAAACGCTCAACGGTCGCGTCAACGTTTTACGTCTCTGCGGCAGTCCTTTCTCCGGACGTGCGACATTGTTTACATTGCGTACCCGTCGCGAATTGATAAATCGGTACCAATAATAAAATAAAAAAATAATAAAAATGGCAACGCGCGCGTACGGTTTTACCGCGGCGCGCGCGGAGAAATCGCTACGCGGTTGATAAACGCGAAGTTGAATGTTAAACCGTAATCCGCGCGGTAGTAACCGTAGTAACCGTTGATCACGCGCGATCCGGCAGACGAGCCGCAGCCGTACGTTATTGTTTCGTTCGATCTCAGTCAGTGCCGCAACTACAAAATAGGAATTATATTAGGCACCTTCCTAGGATTTATTTTCGTTGTACGTCTTATTTATAAGTATCAATTTTTTTTTGGTTTTAAAACTCGTTTCACATCAGTTAGTGTATGATCGGTGGAAGACATAAGCGCCAAAATGAGACAAGAAAAAAAAAAGTCGTATCGTTCATAAGCGCCAAAATGGGATAAGAAAAATTAGTCGTATCGTACGAAAGCGCCAAAATCCTAGATATCTGTAAATTAAATAACAGATATTAAATTTAGAACTATATCGTTTAAAAACTCCAAACGCTTAATATTAATTGACAAATGTATTATATGATTTCGATAGATTGTCACATAGACAGTGTGTGAGCAAGTTTTGTGTTGTAACATATTGTTAGTACCTATTTCGTTATATCGTTATAATATTATACTTTATATTGATGTGCATGTACATTATAATTTATTATCGAAATTTTTTTATAAAATAGCATGGATTTATTAACTTAATATTGATTTGCATGTATATTATAATTTATTATCGACATTTTTTTAAATTTTTTTTTTTAATTTTTAAATAACTACCTACTTATATAAAATATTAATTTTGGCGCAAATGCTATGTCACTTTTGCACCTTTGGCGCTTATGTCTTATGTAGGGTACAACAGGTAACAATATTAGATTGGCGCTTATGTCCTACAGATTTTGGCGCAAATGATGGGTCATTTTTGAACTTTTGGCGCTTATGTCATACAGCCGTGTATGATATATATATAACAAATTAAAACCTACAACTGTTGTATATTATTATTGTATATTACTTCATTACACATTTATGTAGTTTATGTAGGTATGTTGTATGCTTACTCAAATACTCAATGAACTCATTTTTAACTAAGTATTATATTACTCTAAAGTATTATAACATCCTTACCTGAATTTTAAAAAGAGTTTCTTTTTATTATAAAATAATAATATATTATTATTAAACAATTCGGTGTTTATGAAGTGTAGTTTATTTTAAGCTGGGACTAGGAGGCCCTCAAATGTATGTAAGCCTTGAGGCCCGTGTGCGCAGCACACTGCACACCCGGGGATTTTACAGCACTGATCTCAGCACGTTCTCGACGGATCGAACGGGATGCGACTTACACTTTTACCGCGCCTACGTAATGCACAGCCGGTTATAATAGCCGTACGGTTTACGATCCGACGACCCCCCGCGCAGCGCTGTGAAATCAAATCAACCGATATCGTTCCCGTTCGTCGTGGACCAAGTCCGACGTTAATTTTTTTTCTTTTTCCATCTCTCCCGTTTACGAGCGGATTATCGATTCAACCTCATCAAGCGTATTAGATATTATTATATTACTGTACACGTGTATATGTGCACACCGTGGATGGGTACTAAAAAACCGTTTTTTCATCGGCGCGATACAGAAGTTAATGTTTCATATCGTGTTTTTAAATATTTTAAATTATATAGCCGTACACGTACACGTATAAGGTATTTTTTTTTATTTATTATTTTTTTTTTTTTTTAATAACCCACCAATACAACGACGCGAGTAATGCATTTTTAATAGCCTCGTCCGAGGATCGTTTAATCTGTTATAAATCTAAAGTAAATTATTTCGTTGTACAACTTTTGTAGGCATATTTTTCGAGAGCACAACTTACTACTACGCTTATAGACCTTGTTTTACAAATCATCGTCGTAGAAAGAAAGAAACGTTTCTTTAACACACGTGGTGCAAAGTTCAGTTCTCGTCGTATAATAGTTCTGTTCAATCGCCTCCCGAAATGGTCTCTTAATTTTTTTTCAAACCTTATTACTACTTATAGAACACTATCAAACATTGCTGCGTGATCGTAATAATATTCGGATGTTTACTATTTCGTAATCAGCCATGATTTAATATGAATTTCTGCGAGGAAGAAGAAAAAATACATTAGACGAGACGATATTAAACGAGAACAATTAACTATAATTATTATTAAACGATCGGTTAACAAGTTTCTCTTATTCAAATTGGCATACGTTGAACACACCGGAATGATAGGTGTAGATTATAAAACAACTATATGTGCTGTCGTCTGGAAAACAGATTGTTGTATATTTTTAACGCGTGAAACTCGAATCCGTAAAAAAAACATGGTGTAACGAAAGATAAACGAGTATTACGAATTATAATATGATTAAAAATATTATTTACATTTTGATTTCAATCAAAAATTTCAACAAAGCAACTATAAACTTTACATATATGATTGTCTTAGGCACCTGCCTAATCTCAGTATTAATTGTTATTTTTTCAAAATGATTATTGTTTGTGCTGTACATCATTCAGTTCAAGGGTGTCCGTGACCAGATGATTGTAAACAAAGATAACAATTAGCATTTCATAAAATCTCGTAGGCTAAATCAATATACTAATACTTGTTCGCGTGCAATAAATTAGTATGGGACTATAATTTATATTGTAATACGCGCGCGCGTGTTCGTGTCCGTATGTATAGACAAACATTAAAACAAGTTAACCTAAGTTACATTATTGTAACCATATGCCTATCGTATGTAATGTTGAACGATTTCAATCTCGTTTACGGAAATTACATTAGTTGGTTTTTTCCAATTAAACATACACGTGTACACGGTTGAAAATGGTTGATTAACAAATTTTAACGCGCACAAAACTTACTCCTGCCACAAAAACAGTGCAGTTATCAAATATTCACTCGTGCTCATTATTATTACTTTTTTCCATACCACTAAACACGTTTACCGGGAAAATCGTTTCGGTACAAAAGCGTTGTAATACCTTACGAGTACACGCACTATGCTCGTGTTTATTTTTTTCGATGCCACTTAAACGACTGCAACTCACGTATTGCATCCAATGCAGTTGCACGTCCGTTACAGAAACGATCGAGAGGTTTGAAACCGTATTGCCGTTTATTGCGACGAATAATCGTGATCGACGTTTAAAATATCGATCGCGTTGCAGCAGTAGACGGCGATGATGATAATAATAATAATCTTCGGTACAGCCGTGATGGGTGTGAGCTAATCCGTAACCATAAATCAATGGTATCAAATAATGATAATGCACGGATGTTCGAGGTGAGTAATAATAACACAATCATCATCATCATCATGATCACAAGAACCGGCATCGTTGAC